TTATATACTCTGCATATATTTCTGGTAGTTTTTGTGTGAATTGTAGCCTGTGTACTTCAGGAATGTTATTCATTAGTTTGGTGATGTTTTCCCACAACTGTCTGTCTCTTTGACAGATCCAGTAGTTACCTTCCCGGTTTGCATATTGTGTAGGTAATCCTGTACAACTCAGGTGAAACCTTATGTTACAAATGTTACATACAATGCCTACAACACTCTTCCGAAGTGACTTAAGGCAGCCTCCACACACCTCCATGTTGGGTTTGTGATGTTATAATAATATATGCATATATTTAAGTATTATATGTATGTATATATAATATGTATCCAGTATATTTATAATATTACATATGTTTATTTGTTCAAGTTTATGTGGGGGTACTTATCGCCTTGTGGAGAAAATATGGTCGTCTTGGGACCGTCCAGTTGACCGTTGTTTGTCCCAGGTCGGGGGCAGGATGGGCAACCAGGATGTCACTGGTTGCCAGTTACTTGATTTATACACTGATTATGTGCCTGTAAAATCCTAAGGGAATTTCTGCTTTCTTCCGGCTTGCAATGTTATTCACTTACTCTATTACTAGTTCCTAGCTCCACTTTCCCGTATTACCGTATATATTGCCAGTATATTATCACTGAGGGAGTATACTGTTACTGCGGGACGTCCTCTACACTGTGTAGGCCTCGTGGCTGTGTAATAAACAGCCTAGTGTGATGCCTCCTCCACAACTTTACATTTATACTTTTTCTTTGTACAATTCTCTAACACTATCCACTAATTTATATGTTGTGTTACACGTTCCACTTCACTGTTCAACGTATCACTGCTCGCTATATTTGATATATATCGCTGATGCCTGTACACATGAGCCTGGTGGCACTGGCTCACCACGTGGGACCACCTTTATTCTGTATTTAACTCAAATTTCCATTGTTAATTTCTGTATTCTATTTTCCTACGGGTCACTATGCACTTGGTGATCACTGTGGGCCGTAATCCATGGTTGTAATCCTAAAAAAGCCCGGTGTATTCCAGTGTTTTAACGGAGCGCGACGACGACACGTCTGTCCCCTCCCCCGCGAACTACTCCACCTACACTAGACTCCACCACACTACACCCACTACACTAGACTCATCACCACACTACACCCACTACACTAGACTCATCACCACACTACACCCACTACACTAGACTCATCACCACACTACACCCACTACACTAGACTCCACCACACTACACCCACTACACTAGACTCCACCACACTACACCCACTACACTAGACTCATCACCACACTACACCCACTACACTAGACTCATCACCACACTACACCCACTACACTAGACTCCACCACACTACACCCACTACACTAGACTCATCACCACACTACACCCACTACACTAGACTCATCACCACACTACACCCACTACACTAGACTCATCACCACACTACACCCACTACACTAGACTCATCACCACACTACACCCACTACACTAGACTCATCACCACACTACACACCACACTACACCCACTACACTAGACTCATCACCACACTACACCCACTACACTAGACTCATCACCACACTACACCCACTACACTAGACTCATCACCACACTACACCCACTACACTAGACTCATCACCACACTACACCCACACTACACTAGACTCATCACCACACACTACACCCACACTACACTAGACTCATCACCACACTACACTACACTAGATCATCACCACACTACACCCACTACACTAGACTCATCACCACACTACACTAGACTCATCACCACACTACACCACTACACTAGACTCATCACACACTACACCCACTACACTAGACTCATCACACCCACTACACTAGACTCATCACCACACTACACCCACTACACTAGACTCATCACCACACTACACCCACTACACTAGACTCATCACCACACTACACTAGACTCATCACCACACTACACTAGACTCATCACCACACTACACTAGACTCATCACCACACTACACTAGACTCATCACCACACTACACTAGACTCATCACCACACTACACCCACTACACTAGACTCATCACCACACTACACCCACTACACTAGGCTCATCACCACACTACACCCACTACACTAGACTCATCACCACACTACACTAGGCTCATCACCACACTACACCGACTACACTAGACTCATCACACTACACCCACTACACTAGGCTCATCACCACACTACACCCACTACACTAGACTCATCACCACACTACACTAGACTCATCACCACACTACACCCACTACACTAGACTCATCACCACACTACACCCACTACACTAGACTCATCACCACACTACACTAGGCTCATCACACTACACCCACTACACTAGACTCATCACCACACTACACTAGGCTCATCACCACACTACACCCACTACACTAGACTCATCACCACACTACACCACACTACACTAGACTCATCACCACACTACACCCACTACACTAGACTCATCACCACACTACACCCACTACACTAGACTCATCACCACACTACACCCACTACACTAGGCTCATCACCACACTACACCCACTACACTAGACTCATCACCACACTACACTAGGCTCATCACCACACTACACCCACTACACTAGACTCATCACCACACTACACCCACTACACTAGGCTCATCACCACACTACACTAGGCTCATCACCACACTACACTAGACTCATCACCACACACTAGACCACACTACACTAGACTCATCACCACACTACACCCACTACACTAGACTCATCACCACACACACTACACCCACTACACTAGACTCATCACCACACTACACCCACTACACTAGACTCATCACCACACTACACCCACTACACTAGACTCACACCCACTCACACCACACTACACTAGACTCACACCACACTACACTAGACTCATCACCACACTACACTAGACTCATCACCACACTACACCCACTACACTAGACTCATCACCACACTACACCCACTACACTAGACTCATCACCACACTACACCCACTACACTAGACTCATCACCACACTACACCCACTACACTAGACTCATCACACTACACCCACTACACTAGACTCATCACCACACTACACCCACTACACTAGACTCATCACCACACTACACCCACTACACTAGACTCATCACCACACTACACCCACTACACTAGACTCATCACCACACTACACCCACTACACTAGACTCATCACCACACTACACCCACTACACTATCACCACACTACACTACACCCACTACACTAGACTCATCACCACACTACACCCACTACACTAGACTCATCACCACACTACACCCACTACACTAGACTCATCACCACACTACACTAGACTCATCACCACACTACACCCACTACACTAGACTCATCACCACACTACACCCACTACACTAGACTCATCACCACACTACACACACTACACTAGACTCATCACCACACTACACCCACTACACTAGACTCATCACCACACTACACCCACTACACTAGACTCATCACCACACTACACCCACTACACTAGACTCATCACCACACTACACCCACTACACTAGACTCATCACCACACTACACCCACCCACACACTAGACTCATCACCACACTACACCCACTACACTAGACTCATCACCACACTACACTAGACTCATCATCACCACACTACACCCACTACACTAGACTCATCACCACACTACACCCAGACTCACACTAGACTCATCACCACACTACACACTACACTACTACTACACTAGACTCATCACCACACTACACCCACTACACTAGACTCACACCACACTACACTACTACTAGGCTCATCACCACACTACACCCAGCACACTAGGCTCATCACCCACACTACACTAGACTCATCACCACACTACACCCAGCACACTAGGCTCATCACCACACTACACCCACTACACTAGACTCATCACCACACTACACCCACTACACTAGACTCATCACCACACTACACCCACTACACTAGACTCATCACCACACTACACCCACTACACTAGACTCATCACCACACTACACCCACTACACTAGACTCATCACCACACTACACCCACTACACTGGCTGCAACAGTGAAGCAGAAGCAATAACCAGTGAGAGCAGTTGGTGCAGCAAGAGGGAGGGGAGGTAGTGGCCGGGGCTGGTGGTGACACGTGCTGTTGACATAACACAGACGACATTGATCACAAGAAGGCAAGATGTAACTACTGGCATGATGAACCAAGACAATGGTCAACCAAGTAAGGGATATTCTGCCAGATAAATTGTATTCAACAACTCCAATGAATTACTTGAGCTGAACCTCAAATGGACTGAGGTAAAATAAGGACACTCACACATTTCCTTGAGAGTGAGTGAGTGTAAACTTGGCTCCAGTCCCTCAACCTCTCCATATACAACACTTGAGGCTGTGTAAGTTCCTCTCACTTCAAGGCATACTTACTTTATCTTAGTTATCTTCCGAATTATATTCTCATCATTCTAATTTGGCAGTAGATGGTTTAGCTGATGACGCCTCGCTGCTCTAATTGTAAGCCTTAATTTACCCTTTTAACTTTACCACTTTCATAGTGGTAACGGCTTGGCGCGTTCTCCTCATACTTCCCTTCCCATCATCAATGTTATGCTTAGTATAAATCATTTACTAATAGTTTCTAGTATACGTTTTCTAGTATAGTATAATATTCTCATTCTCTCTCTCTCTCTCTCATACACAATGTTTTTGTTTCTTTACTAGGCGAGGAAGAGGGAAGAAAAGGAAAGAAAAAAAAGAGAGAGGGAGGGGGAAGAGGAGGGGGGGAGGGAATTGTTTATTTCAACGATCTACTTCATCTCATTCGTGAAGCTCAAGCCTGTGCTGGTGACTGTACTCTAACCTTTACATACAAAGAAGGCAATGCCAACTGCTGCAAGACTCATCACTCGCCAACTTTGAGCAATGTCTACCTGGGGTAGGAGATGGCAGGTGACATGTGCGGCCGAGAAGACAGGAGCGGGGATGATAACTAGACTGTACATGGCGAAGCTCACGGACCTGCAAATGGCTGGCAAATCTCTAGAGTTCACAGATGAATTTGACATCTTGGGAATCAAGTTCGACTCATCAATGACAATGAAGAGCCATGTGCTAAACCTAGCTCAAAAGGCAGCTAGGAAACTTACAGCTTTACGGCGCATCTCTCATCGTCTTTACAGCAAGGGATGCTAAACCTTATATGAACCTCAAGTTCGCTCCAATCTAGAGTATGCACCCCTTTCCTGGATCGTCTGCCCCCCATCTTTCGTCAGACTGTTGGACAAAGTGGAGAGACGGGCAAGAAGGCTTATCTCTAGTCTTAATCAAGTCTGGTGGGAACGGTCTGAACATCAGAGCCTGCAACACCGTCGTGACGTTGTTGGCCGTACTGTTATGTACAAGGCTAACATCCTCAAAGTTCCGCACCTGGCTCAACTCCGTGGACTACCAGTAGTTTCCACCCGTAGCACTAGGTTCTCAACCTTCAACAGTCTCATGCTGGAAGTGCCATTCTCAAGAACATCACTCCATCAGCGTTCATTCATTCCGAGACTTACTCGCATCTGGAACTTGTTCGCTCAACAGATTGATACACGGGAGATCAGGTCAACTGATCACATGAAGACACTGGCACCCAGCTGGCTACAGGCTCATACTGTTCCATATATGATTGTTACCTAATGTTGTACATGAAAAAAGGCTATTCCTACTGCTGCACATAACAGGTTCATGATATAAATGGGCTTCTAGGAGTAGGTTATAACTTAGCTTCACTTAGTTCCTTATATGATAGGGAGCTATGTGTTAGTTTCAAAGTATATTCTCATGAAATAATTGAGTTTCTAGGTGTAGGCTTCAGATGAGGTAAGGTAGGATAACAGCTCTTGCTTGCAGCTTTACTAGGTACGTCATCAGATATCACTTATGAATCCTAGTCTTAGTTAAAAAAAAAAAATAGGCAGCAGTGACTGGCGAGGAAGAGTGAGGTGGAGCAGCGCAGCAAGACAGTGGTCACGCCGGGGTCACTTACCACTGCCACACCTCCACAAGACCCTCCCCCAGGGGCCCGCCCCCAGGGGCCCGCCCCCCACCTGCCTCAGACACACCTCTGTCTCGCTGGGCCAAGGTTGCCTCCCACTCCCTAACACCTCTCAACGCCTCTACCACCCACCTCCCCTTTTTTTTGTCGGGTGGGGGGGGGGGAGTAAAGATGGAGAGGCATAGGTGAAGGAAAGTTCAGAAGAGAGAAATCTTCAATTTGGGAGGGTGTGTCCTGGAGCTGGGGGGAGGATCAGTGTGCCCTGGGGCCGGGGCCGGGGCAGGATCAGTGTGCCCTGTGGCCGGGGGAGGAGCAGTGTGCCCTGGGGAGGAACAGTGTGCCGTGGAGCAGGAGAGCACATTAGCGTTGACATGTTGTAGCACTGGAGTGCCACCTTGGCTTCCCAGGCGCTCATACTCCCTCATATTATATTGTCTACCGATGCAACGTTTGCTTACTTATGCTCACTCTCTCCCTCACCTCGCTCCTCTGTATTTATATGTGAGAACACATGGTGGGGGGGGGGAGCTGGGAGATGGGGGGGGGGGGGAGAGGGGGAGACGGAAGAAAGGGGAGTGTGTAGGAGGGGGGAAGAGACGGGAGGGGGGAACCCTTCAACAACACGCACCTCGGCCTAACTAGGTCAACCCGTCTCCTAAGTTACTTCATTCAATTATATATGTATCACTGGCATGATGTGAGCAGTCACCACACACCGGTGGTGTGGGTGCTGTGATGAGGGGAGCAGGGAGGGGGAGGGGGGAAAGAGAGGGGAGGGAGAAGGGGGTTTAAAAACCATGCACTCCGTTGAACATTATATTGTAGAATGTCCCATATTGACTGACTGTCGCCCTCCTAAGGGAGGTAGTGACAAGAGGGGAGGAGTGAGGTGGGGAGAGGAGGGGAGGAGTGAGGTGGGGAGAGGAGGGGAGGAGTGAGGTGGGGAGAGGAGGGGAGGAGTGAGGTGGGGAGAGGAGGGGAGGAGTGAGGTGGGGAGAGGAGGGGAGGAGTGAGGTGGGTAGAGGAGGGGAGGAGTGAGGTGGGGAGAGGAGGGGAGGAGTGAGGTGGGGAGAGGAGGGGAGGAGTGAGGTGGGGAGAGGAGGGGAGGAGTGAGGTGGGTAGAGGAGGGGAGGAGTGAGGTGGGGAGAGGAGGGGAGGAGTGAGGTGGGGAGAGGAGGGGAGGAGTGAGGTGGGGAGAGGAGGGTAGGAGTGAGGTGGGGAGAGGAGGGTAGGAGTGAGGTGGGGAGAGGAGGGGAGGAGTGAGGTGGGGAGAGGAGGGTAGGAGTGAGGTGGGAAGAGGAGGGTAGGAGTGAGGTGGGGAGAGGAGCGGAGGAGTGAGGTGGGTAGAGGAGGGGAGGAGTGAGGTGGGTAGAGGAGGGGAGGAGTGAGGTGGGTAGAGGAGGGGAGGAGTGAGGTGGGTAGAGGAGGGGAGGAGTGAGGTGGGTAGAGGAGGGGAGGAGTGAGGTGGGTAGAGGAGGGGAGGAGTGAGGTGGGTAGAGGAGGGGAGGAGTGAGGTGGGTAGAGGAGGGGAGGAGTGAGGTGGGTAGAGGAGGGGAGGAGTGAGGTGGGGAGAGGAGGGGAAGGGGTGGAAGAGACAGGGATAGGGAAGAGAACTTGGGGAGGGGGGGAGCGGAGGGGGGGAGGGGAGGGGGGGAGAAGGGGGGAGGGGAGGGGGGGTGGAGGCAGTAGCCTCGAGCACACACTAGTGTTAACATACCAGATACAAGCACACGCGTGATCGGAAGTTTGCTGGTTAGGTAGGAATGTGTGAGAAGTGGGTCACCACCCCCGCCCCCCTACACCACCAGGCACCTGGGCCCCCCTACACCACCAGGCACCTGGGCCCCCCTACACCACCAGGCACCTGGGCCCCCCTACGCCACCAGGCACCTGAGCCCCCCTACGCCACCAGGCACCTGGGCCCCCCTACGCCACCAGGCACCTGGGCCCCCCTACGCCACCAGGCACCTGGGCCCCCCCTACGCCACCAGGCACCTGGGCCCCCCTCTACGCCACCAGGCACCTGGGCCCCCCCTCTACGCCACCAGGCACCTGGGCCCCCCCTCTACGCCACCAGGCACCTGGGCCCCCCCTCTACGCCACCAGGCACCTGGGCCCCCCCTCTACGCCACCAGGCACCTGGGCCCCCCCTCTACGCCACCAGGCACCTGGGCCCCCCCTCTACGCCACCAGGCACCTGGGCCCCCCCTCTACGCCACCAGGCACCTGGGCCCCCCCTCTACGCCACCAGGCACCTGGGCCCCCCCTCTACGCCACCAGGCACCTGGGCCCCCCCTCTACGCCACCAGGCACCTGGGCCCCCCCTCTACGCCACCAGGCACCTGGGCCCCCCCTCTACGCCACCAGGCACCTGGGCCCCCCCTCTACGCCACCAGGCACCTGGGCCCCCCCTCTACGCCACCAGGCACCTGGGCCCCCCCTCTACGCCACCAGGCACCTGGGCCCCCCCTCTACGCCACCAGGCACCTGGGCCCCTCTACGCCACCAGGCACCTGGGCCCCTCTACGCCACCAGGCACCTGGGCCCCTCTACGCCACCAGGCACCTGGGCCCCTCTACACCACCAGGCACCTGGGCCCCCCTACACCACCAGGCACCTGGGCCCCTCTACACCACCAGGCACCTGGGCCCCTCTACGCCACCAGGCACCTGGGCCCCTCTACGCCACCAGGCACCTGGGCCCCTCTACACCACCAGGCACCTGGGCCCCTCTACACCACCAGGCACCTGGGCCCCTCTACACCACCAGGCACCTGGGCCCTCTACACCACCAGGCACCTGGGCCCCTCTACACCGCCAGGCACCTGCCCCCCCCCCTACGCCACCAGGCACCTGGGCCCCTCTACACCACCAGGCACCTGGCCCCCCCCCCTACGCCACCAGGCACCTGGGCCCCTCTACACCACCAGGCACCTGGGCCCCCCCCTACGCCACCAGGCACCTGGGCCCCTCTACACCACCAGGCACCTGGGCCCCCCCCCCTACGCCACCAGGCACCTGGGCCCCTCTACACCACTAGGCACCTGGGCCCCCCTACACCACCAGGCACCTGGGCCCCTCTACACCACCAGGCACCTGGGCCCCTCTACACCACCAGGCACCTGGGCCCCTCTACACCACCAGGCACCTGGGCCCCTCTACACCACCAGGCACCTGGGCCCCTCTACACCACCAGGCACCTGGGCCCCTCTACACCACCAGGCACCTGGGCCCTCTACACCACCAGGCACCTGCCCCCCCCCCTACGCCACCAGGCACTTGGGCCCCTCTACACCACCAGGCACCTGGGCCCCCCCCCTACGCCACCAGGCACCTGGGCCCCTCTACACCACCAGGCACCTGGCCCCCCCCTACGCCACCAGGCACCTGGGCCCCTCTACACCACCAGGCACTTGGGCCCCCCCCTACACCACCAGGCACTTGGGCCCCCCCCTACGCCACCAGGCACCTGGGCCCCTCTACACCACCAGGCACCTGGGCCCCCCTACACCACCAGGCACCTGGGCCCCTCTACACCACCAGGCACCTGGGCCCCCCTACGCCACCAGGCACCTGGGCCCCCCCTACACCACCAGGCACCTGGGCCCCCCCTACACCACCAGGCACCTGGGCCCCCCTCTACGCCACCAGGCACCTGGGCCCCCCTCTACACCACCAGGCACCTGGGCCCCCATGCTCGATTCCTGGTTGATGGGGTTCTGGGAGTTCTTCTACTCCCCAAGCCTCGCCCGAGACCAGGTTTGACTCGTAAGAGCTTGGTCCACAAAGTTGTTGCTTTGAGCGGCCCGCAGGCCCACATATCCACCACAGCCCGGTTGGTCCGGCAATATTCCTGATGCTTGCTGGGAGGACGTTGAACAACCGCGGACCTCTGATGTTTATACAGTGTTCTCTGATTGTGCCTACGGCACCCCTGCTCTTCACTGGTTCTATTCTGTATTTTCTTCCATATCGTTCACTCCAGTAAGTTCTTATTTTACTGTGTAGATTAGGGACCTGGCCCTCCAGTATTTTCCACGTGTATATTATTTGATATCTCTCTCGTCTCTTTTCTAGTGAGTACATTTGGAGAGCTTTGAGACGATCCCAATAATTTAGGTGTTTTATCTCGTCAATGTATTCCGTATATGTTC